CCGTCTTTGTGTTGAAGGTCTCAGTTGTTTGTTTGGGTGACATTGGCTACTTGGCTCGTTGTATTTTTGTACATTTTATTGTGATATGAATGCCTATCGTTTAAAAGAAAAAAAAAAAATTCTTTCAGTAATTTCCATACAACTTTTCATATCTCCTACTTGATTGTTCGGAGGTTTAATGCTGAAAACATTTCCCGAGATCTCTATAGGTCTCCGAGGAATAGTGAAAAGCCGATTCAATGTGCAATTGTAGTACTGTACATCACATCACATGTAATGTACAAACACCATTCTACACCCTTTGAATCTCATTGTAGACATTTCTCAATAAATAGAAATATATAATTTTTATTGGAGTGTAAAGTAGAATCGCCATGGAGGGTGGTTCCCCTTTGTCCCCGCCGCCCGATGTGACGGCTGCCTCTAGCGGCGGAGCCTCCAAGTTTCTTGCCAACCTTCCATCTCGCGGCTTTTTCTCTTCCACCGTCATTTCCTCCAACCCGGTACATGTCGCCGCGTAAACCCTAGCCCCCGCACCATTTTTCGTTGTCTACTAATCATACTTCATATTTATTGGCTTTTGGAAAATACATCTGAACCTGTAATTACCTGTTTTTTGGAACAAGTTATTGTTGTGTCTTTAAAGTTCTGAATGTTGTAATTACCTTTGTTTGATAGATTTTGAGGGATGTTTCTAGGCTTCATTCGACTAAGGAGATTGCTCTTTTGATTTAGTGGTGAAGTGGACATTGAGTTTAATGGAGTTATCCTAAATTTGGGTGTTTTATTTAAGAGTCTTCTTCATCAGATTTTGCAGCATAGACCAGAGCAAAGCTAGACAGAAAAAATAAAAAAAAAAAAAAAGATTGTAACCTGAATTTCTAGAATTTCTGCTTGTTGAGAAGTTTGAATAGTATTCTATTGAAATTGATGCCCTGGTTTCTAGTTTTATGTGCAGTGTAATAGTGAATAAGTAGCAGCAGATGTAAATTGTTTGTTACCGCAGGTCATTTCACAAGTTCACCATTGGGTTTGCTTTACATAGATTACAAGATTCTGATACTGTTGGAAAATTGTTCTTTAGAGTTTCCAATTTTTGTTCACAACTTCAGTTCTTCTTTGACTTGTGACATGTTCTGATTAAACATTTTTCCCGGTGGAATCTGAATGCACTTCTTAGGTCTCTTCCTGAATTATGTAGGATTACGCCCTTATAGTGAGGCTGGTGCATAAGATGCATTTTTTTTTTTT